CTTGTCGTTTCACAGGTGAACGTCATTCTATCGTCTGCACTTAATATTGTCGGCCAACTGAAATAAAATTTTCAGGAAAAATGAGATATTAAAAAACTACATAATGTATACTCGCATATTATAAACTAATTTTAAAGATTAATCAAATGTAGAAATACCTGTAGTCTTTCTCAACGATTACTTTTACACTGGTAACTTTAAAACTTGTGATTAAGTAATCCACGACAGGTGATATGAAACGCCTTGATATTGGATCACAGTGCTGAGGGGAACGATGAAGAAGAGAAGCAATCTAAAATTTACAATACGTATCAATCTCGAATTTAAAAATAAAATTATGGGATGCTGATGCTGAAAAAAGCATATAGAATATTAACATCCAAACCTCACGATCAACTTCTGAAGGTTTCTCTTGCAACTGTATTTCGTCAAAATCAATTTTATGTCGTCCAGTAGAAACTGAAGATTCATTTCGTCCACTCCTCTGTGCTCTCGGAGGTTTACACGGAGCTAAGCCATTACCTATATTGAAAATTACCTTTCTTTGAAAAACTAAAAAGATTTTTTTTGTAAAAAAAAATCTCAACAAAAACGAGAAAAAACCTTTATCATTAATAGCCAAACGAAACGATGGAATCGACTCCGACGGTTCCAATGCAGATACAAATAGCGAGGAATCATTGTCTTTACTCTGCTGCACTCTTGTATTTTCATTTTGATTAGATGTCGATGAGGCTTCACGACTGCCAGTAAAGCGAGTAGCACAAAGCGGGTCAAATTCTTCCCATGGCTAGAAAAGATTTCAAAATATTTAAAAGAAAAAAAAAATTTATGAAAACTGTTGGTTTCACAAGAAATAAAACATTTCTTACTCCACATAATATTCCTAAGCAAGAAGCAAAGTTAGTTATCGTATTATTTAGTGATAATGATAGCAACTGATACTACATTTTTATCAAAAACCATCACTAAAAAACTGGTTACATTTGCAAAATATAAAATCTAACATGTGAGGAAGAGAATAAACATTACAGACGGGTTAACAAAGAAAAATTTTCGATTTAGGAAAAACCAAGGAGTAAGTTGCGCAAAACAATCTCTCACCTCAATAAATTACTCCTACAAAAAAATAAATTAAGGCATTTCAATTAGCACCTTTCAGAGTTCAAAAAAGATTAAATCCAAAAGAACTTTTAGGGCTTGAACTAAATATAGGCTTTCCAACCTACAATACCGCTACCATTAAAAATCGCAGATTGAATATATTATAATACCTTTGAGTGTTTAACAGAAAAGCGAAGAGACAAAGCAAATTTTTGCAAAAAAAAAATGACTAGCGTTATTGCCCTTTTTTCGTTGGTATACAGAGGTTTGGTCGGTCACCAAAATATTCACGGATCTAGTTATGAGTTTCTTATAAACTTTTATAAAAGTTTTTATAAAATAGAGCTTCCAGCTATTCAATCTTCTCTTGCAAAGAAATGTGAGGTCTGAATAGTTTTAAATAGAGAAACTGGACCAAATTTTGCGAAAAAAAAAAACAAATAAACAAAATATAACATATATTTGTTCATTTCGGTCCAGTTTTATCACCAAAGCTTTCAGTGATAATTTAAATTAATTAGTAGAAGGAAAAATTACTTCTTTATCGCTTAGATCAATCAAATCGTTGTTTGTTTGCAAACTTTTAACAGAGGAACAGAAAGGAACAACAACTGCACTGCTCGATGGAGATAACATTATCAAGGTAGCATCAGGAGCATCAACCTGCCGCTGCTCAATGATTCCAGAAGTATCATTTGGTTCCGTGCCAGATAACATATCAGGAAGGTAACGTGTGAGAGTACTCGACTCCAGTCCTGCTAAATTCCATAGAAATTTGATGTGGTTTTGACAATTTTGGAATTATATGAATAAGGATCCAATAAATATACTGCATTAAGTTGGAAAAAAAAAATTTGGCGCTATTAAAAAGCCCAATGAAGTCTGAAATGGACAGTAATAATAACATAAAATACAAGAAGAGAGTTTTTGCTTGACGTCTACCTTTTTTAAAGAGATAAAACTGAAATCATTACAAATGACTTCAGATCTACTTACTGTGCTGTAAGGAATGCAGATTGTCTTGTTTGTCATGTTTCATGTGTGGATAAAAACCAGTGTTTCCTGACGTTGTTGGAATGTTCGCATAATGTGATTGTCGATTTCTACAAAGTTAGAACAACAATTCTTAAATATCATAACAAATACGATGAAAATTTAACCCAAAAACCAAAAAGAACATAAAACTGGCTTAAAAAAAATAAACTTTAGACCTGAGATTCCCATCCCATGTTAATTATTTTCTTGAATAACTAATGATTTAGAAAAAAAAGGGACTAAAAAAGAAGATAAAAAGGAAATGCTAAACAGATCTCTTGAATTTGCTCAAAAAAAAAAAAAAAAAAAAAAAGAATACGGAAATGTATGGGTATATGTGAGACAGCGACTTCGAATGTCAGCATTACACTCATTGACTTCTTGAGTATTTTTTTCAACATCATCCCAACAAATCAAATCCTGAGCATATGCATTTTCCCTTCGCTTGCGTGATTCCTCTTTATATGACTGCCTGAAATAATATTTCACATTTCCATAGGTGCGTCCACTTTTTAGTTTTAATCAAATAAACTGGTTAGAAAAAAAAGAAGAAAAAGTCAACTGCGTTGTAAAACTGTGATTTAATTAATCCAAACCCCCATTATAACCACAATATCTTAACAGTACCAACATATTTGTCGTAATATAATCTAAAATTGCATAAAATATCTAACCTACTAAGTTCCAGCGCCAGCTCCAAATCCCTATCATAAACGTAATCACTAGTTCTCATCCTGTCTTTTTACGAATTTCTCCACATCTGTAATAATTAAAAAAAAAAAATTTCAACACACGACTGACTACTAGTCGTATAATACGTGATAATTTCCCTGAATTATTTCATTTAAACGTTTCTCAGTACTGCCAATTTTGATAGCAAAAATTTTTATCTTTCACCTGTGTTGTTCAAATGATTTCATTCACTTTTTCTTATCCTTTTTTTCGTCTCAACAAAATATTCCTTCAATCACGATGTGTTAGCTATAATTTCAGAGACAGAAAATTACGAGGATAAGAAAAGAAATTTGGAAAATAAAAGTGAAGAAAGCAATAAAAATTGCAAAATTCTAAATAATTCTAATCTGCAAATCTATAATTTTCATTTATATTAGGTTCATTTTTGTTCTGGTTCCTTATGTATCGAAATTCCAAATATCGTGGAACAAAATTTATCGTAACACCATAAAACAAAGAAATTTGCAGCTAATCAATGTGTTGAAATATACAAACATATGTTTGTTATACTTTTAAATTATGACGTAATGATTAAATTTAAACTCAAATTCCACGAAAACCATACATCGATTCAAGTCTAATTCAAACCAATTAAGAGGAGAGATATCTGTACATGATGATTTTAATAAAGCTTCCCCTAAAGCTAATCATTCGTCGGCTTGCCTACCATCATCAAGGCACTGATTTTGGCGTAGATAATGACCCTCATCAAGTCTCTATACCATTAAAAAAAGAATGATGTGAAAATAATAAAAAGTACTGAGAGTCTTGAATGTAATCCTATTTTCTATTTCAATCACCACATATTTAAAATTTATGTTTTTAAAAATAAATAGCAATCCATTTTAACACCAATTTATACCACTATTTTAGAGCTATTGCTTTCTGGGTATCGGAATATACGTAGAACTCCCACCTACGAAAAAAAAAATGTAAGTATTAAGAGAATTTGATTAAATTTGGAGATCCACGACAAAACATTCAAATGATTTACCAAATATATTCGAAAATAAAAACAGATAAATTTGATGAACTAATTTAATAAATATGATGAGATTTTGTAAAAATTTTTTTGCCGTTTATCCAAAAACAACAACAACTCCACCTATTTTTGCTCTCAACTTCTGCAATAACAATAATAATAAAAGAAAACGCAAAAACAAAAACAAAAATAAAAGTGAAATATTTCTAACAATTTATGAAAACGATACATATATTGCATCTGTTATAACAACTGAAATTTTCTTATCATATTGAAGGTAATTATTCACGTATCACCACTTAAACTAAATTTTACAAGGCATTTTCTGTGCGCTTCCACATGCGTCTCTCAATTACTGCACATTTTTTTTTTTTTTTTTTAAAAAAAAAAACCCTTTCTCAATCTATTACATATACCATTGTCTTTTGCTATTCACAACCACTTTCTCTGTCACTTCTCGCTTAAATATTTCTTTTTCTATTTATACTAAAGAGAATTGTTACTATACGTTCCCTCTTTCTTTCTCTTACTTTCGGAAAGCTCTATTGCTTTATTTCCGGCTGCACTACCACCACATACACTTCACAGTCTATCCGTTCAAAATCCGGAACAAAAAAAAAAGTGTACACCAATAAGTTAAGCTCTCAACATAACATGTGGATTAAAATGTGTGTGGCTGTGGGCTGCATTAAATGTTGTCAGCGATGGTTGTTGGTTATGTTGACATGATTGTTGGAAGTTTTGTTAGGATTATTACTGGAATAGAGTGGAAGGTAGGGGACAATCATTCTGGGATTTTACCGGAAGGGATTACGGTATTTAGCTTTTAGCAAAACTTTGATTCAAAGTGAGAGCTACGTAATGCAAAGAGTACTCTTACTGATATATATTGAAGCATTATGCGGTTTAATTTTTAATAACCACTTTTCAGGATTTCAAAATTCTTCGTTTTGAGATGTTTATTTCAGTAGTCGAATTTTAATTAATTACTGAATGCGATTTTTTGACTAACATTTCCAAAAGATTTGATTGCTAATGGTGGCGTTTATCTGTCAAGTTACATTGACAAAAAAACTATTAATTATGATTTGTTCAGAAATAGGAATCTGGAAAATATATTCGTCGACCTAATTTTGCTCACCAAATGGCTGTGAGCGGTTTTGCTTCCTCCATATTGAATAAAATTCATGAAATTGTTAGCGGTGGCGCAGTTTCTATTTTGCACAGTTACAATGGACGAGCTGATACGATGGCTGGACCTTCCAACATGATGCAAATTCAGGTATCATCACATCTCTCTGTTGATATTTTTCGTCTGTGGTTTCTTCATTCAATTTCATACATTTTCTTTTATTGTGAAAAATCTTTCTTTTTTCGTCCTCAACTTGTCTCGACGTGATTTTTGCCGTGAAAATTTTCGAGGGAAAAGGATAGCTTCATAATAATCATTTTTTAATAGGATAATAATCTAGAGACAAAGAAAATAGGGTATTTCGACTTTTTTCTGCAGTGTCGTCAGTTTTTTTCTCTTGATAAGAATAGACTGTGTTTTTGGAACATTTCTGTAAAATTTTTTGGTTTTTTGAGTTATAATTATAGGATCGTCGGCTGGTTGAAAAAACGTTTAAATTGATGGATACTGTTGTCAAGCACTGTCAACAGCCGCGTCTAAATCTTAAAAATTCACCACCTTTTATACTTGATATACTCCCCGACACTTATCATCAGTTATCTACCATCATATCCAAGAACCCAAATGTGCTGAAAGACAATACATATTTAGTATTATTCCTGGAGAACGTGCAGTCAAAATGCAAGCAGGTTCTCATATTAATGTTTTCTCTTTTATACTTTCTGTAATGAAATCTACTTACTTTAGGGTTACTTGCTTTTATTAATTTGAATACTTGTAATTGTTTGCTTTACATTTTCTGTTAGTGGGAATGTCATTTTTTCTTACAGACGATGAAATTATTCAAAGAAGATCGTGAAAGGATTTACGATGAAAGATCAGCAGCACGACGTAATCTTACCAAACTTTCACTGATCTTTTCGCACATGCTAGCAGAGCTTAAAGCTGAATTTCCGGATGGACATTTTATTGGTGAAAACTTTCGTATCACCAAAAAAGAAGCGGATGCATTTTGGAAGGAATCATTTGGCATCAAGTAACCATTTTTTGTGGTATTATTTGTCAAATTGTTGTTTCAACGCAGAGAATTGGATTATCTGATATAAAATTGAAAAATGCAAAAACTTCCGTTTTTCAGGACTACCGTACCATGGTTCGAATTTCGAATTGCATTAAGCAAAGTTCATAGACTTAATACCGGTTTAGAAACTCTTGCTTTGAAGACTACCATTGACCTTACCGTTAATGAGCATATTTCGAATTTTGAATTCGACGTATTTACAAGGTTTATCTCTTTTTGTTTCTATTTATACTGATTCATATGTGAAGTCTAACTATAGTGATTATGTGCTTAAATTACGCCTTTTAGTTTTTGATAAAATATTTGCTACGTGGTAATATGTTTTTCTTTTTTTTTTTCATGAAATTCTATAGATGAAAAAAAAAAAAAAAGTGATCGAGTTATATACTGAATAACTATAGTGACTGAGTTATGTACTGAATTTCAGACTTTTCCAACCGTGGAATACACTGTTGCACAATTGGCAGCTACTTGCAGTAACTCATCCCGGATATGTTGCCTTTCTGACATATGATGAAGTGAAACAAAAGCTTCAGAAATATAGTAACAAGCCTGGAAGGTTCTTTCCTTCATTTTTTGTATTATAAATTCCATTAACCGATGTTTTTGGCTGGAACTGTTATACTCACTAGAGTATTTATTGTTTGTTTTCTAGCTATGTGTTCCGCCTGAGCTGTACACGTCTTGGACAGTGGGCTGTTGGTTATGTTGCTCCTGATGGTAAAATTTACCAAACAATACCACAAAATAAGTCACTCATACAAGCTTTGGTTGATGGAAGTCGAGAAGGATTGTAAGTGGTTCTTTCGTTCTATTGATATTGTAGGAGACCATTACTTTAACTTCATATTTAATTTTTTCATTCACATCAAGTTTAGCATAAAATTTCTCAGCAAAATTTTCATACTTTTTTTAAAATCCCTTGTCGTTTTGGCTGCTTTGATTTTACAACATGTCTTTTTAGTTATCGTTTTCCGGATGGAAGACCAACCAACCCAGACTTAAGTCATGCCTTGCAGCCAAGTCCGGAAGGTCGTGTTAAGGTAAGCAGGTGTCGTCAAAGTCGTTTTGGGATCATATTCAAGTTCTTTAATTTTTACTAATTGGGCTATATTATATTTGTGTGTATTCTGATTAGCGTTAAAGTTATCTAGCAAGACTTTTGATTTTTAGGTGACTCCAGAGCAATATCAAATTTATTGTGAGATGGGTACCACATTTGAGATGTGCAAAATTTGTGCAGAAAATAATAAAAATGTCAAGTTGGAACCATGTGGCCACTTGCTTTGTACACCTTGTTTGCAGAGCTGGCAGGTTATTATTTCCTATTTGAAGAGTGTGAGGTCCAAGTGTAATGGTCTCTTTAATTATGGTGAGAATAGTTTGGTACATCGAAAAAACAGTTGCAGTTTTCACTTAGTATTATGTTATTATGAAATCTTATTTACTCCTCAAAGATTGATTTTAATTTTTTTTATTAAATGATATTTGTTGTTGTTTACTTAATTGCTGCATTTGTTATCTAACATACGCTTTTATTCCGGATATATGTATCACCTCTGGATTATTGTAGGAATCAGATGGTGGTGGTACATGTCCGTTCTGTCGCTGTGAGATTAAAGGTACGGAGAGAATCATTATCGATTCATTTGATCCGATAGGAGCTAATAAAAAACTTGGTTATGAAACGATTATTGAGAAAAGCACTGTTAAGAATGTAGTGAGTCATTTTCGTGTCTTTGTTTTGATTCCATAATTTTGTGAATAGATTCTTTCACATTCACTATTAAATGTTTTCATCTACTCATTTTTCAGAAGATAGTATTCCGAACTAAAGATGTAAGATAATTATTGAAAAAAATTGTTTCTAGCGGCAGTCATGGCCACCGAGGAATGAAGCTGTGCCACCTCGACGAGCACCTCCATTACCTCCTCGTTATGATTCATCTTCAGCTGGCAATAGTCCATCTGTAACACACAAGCAGTTGATCTTCGATGTTCCTATAGCAAGCAACAATAACATGTCAACACATAATGCGGGAAAACTTGATCAAACTAGAAATGTTTGTTTTTCTTCAAATTTAAGGAATAGCATGGACAAATAGCAGGGAAATTTCCAGATTTGGTAAGACGAAGAGTTTGTTAACACCAAATTTTCGACGATTTTAATACTTTTGGGTTAGTTCCAGGATGCTATACCGAATAGCATTTCACAGTTGAAAGTGTTAGCACCAACAACGACAGAGGGGTCATCATATGTGAATGTGGTAACTTCCGGCGGGAAGTCGAACTATGAGGGACTACAATATGTGAACACTGCTGTGATTAATGGTCAAACATAGGTCATTAAAGGTTATTGCTTTCAGATTTGTCATTCCGGCATTACTTGGGATTCACTTTATAATATCATGTTAATGTGTCGAATCCATGTTTTCTTACTGTTATTTCCTTGAATATTGTGTAAATCTTTCATCGATTAACCATTTGTTACTGTCAAATATGCTAGATTTCAAATTAGCCGGCTGAATGCTCTAAATCTTGCATAAAGTTAAAATTAATCTGCGTATAAAATACCGTAATTTTTACATATTGGAATTGATGTCTTTTGTAAACTGGTTCCATTTTTTTTTTCAGGAAAATTATGTTTTCATGTTGCTTCTTCAGATTTCTATCTGCTCAAATATTTTTGTGCTTTATAGTTTTTTTTTTTTTTTTCTACATTCAACATATGTTGAATAACTCTGCTAGTAAGTTCCGAGCACAACACTTTTAAATTTTTTCATATTTTATAATTTACATGACAGCCAATTATGTGTTGTGCTTATTGACTAGTTCCTTTCGTTGTTAACTTATTAACACTAAAAGTGAAATAATAGTTTATAATTGCTTTGTTTTCATTGTCTTTTATTTATCTTTTCATATTGTAAGTGATTTTTTTCATTTGCATACATGTTTTTGGTACAAAGAACAATTCTTATCAAATTAAGAAATCGTGTATCATAATACTGTTGTGAAATGTTCCGAGCAAAATATTAGCATTATTTTGATCTTGTGCCGAGTAATACAAAAAAATTTATCATCCGTTTTATCCGATTGCTGAACCGCTTCGGTGTAAAATACTTTAAAGAGACTTGTCATCATAATATTCATCTGTTTTTCCCTTATTGCTCGATTATTTGGCCTTGTTAACAGTTGGTCTTTCAGCTTTTTTCTCTCTGATTATTTAGTCTGGAATTTGGTCATTTCAGTGTTTTCTTTTTGCTGCATGCGCTTTTGATCTGGGCTGTTGTTTTCCTTTTCTGATTTCATTGTTCATTCCGGTTTAGGAATTATAAACGGAGGCTTATAAGATTCTTACCATTATTAGCTTTACCTAAAAGCTGTATGAATTGCCATCCATTGTTTATCTTCGTCTTTGATTGAATGAGTATACGTCCTGGTTTGTTCGAAACTGCATTAATCGAGAAATATGTTTTATCCGTTGATTGATATCCTTTTTAATACATATTATCTGTAAATTATTATTGCGTTCACATTGGAACTTATTCCATTCTCCTGAAGGGTAATTAAAGTTTGTTCAAATTTTAAATGGCAAATATACCGAAATTGAACTGCATTAATTTCTTTGCATTTTTAGAGTCAAAAAGCTTCATATTTGCTGTATTTAATTCTTTCAGTAAAATTTGTTAGTTTATTTGATCAGTATGTCACATGTCTGAATGGTCCCACGAAGTTTCTCTGAGATTCGCTTTCTAAATGTAATAGATTTGATGTTTCTCATTTCGATTTTTCCAGCTGAATTCAGAAGTGAAAATGGTATTCATGAAAATATTAGCTACTTCTTTGCACTGTTCACTGCCTATTTTCTATTTTCATAATACCCAATGATACTTGTGATTATGTTATTTTCAAATTTTCTCTGGTTGAGTATGAAGGATGACAATGTGTTTATCATACATGTATTGTGTTAACCAAATAAATCATCCATTTTTGATATAATAATTTTGTATTTTTGTATTTGTCTTGAAAGGCCTAATAAGTTACAAATACCAATTGAATAGGTTATCAAATAAAATAGACGATGGAGTTCTTGATCTGATTGAGCGATTGTAAAATTGTTATCTTGTTTATTAATGAAATTCAGGTACCTAAGTTGTTTTCGAAACAATGCTTACGTAGCAGCAAACTATTGATCATTATAGCACAAACATAAAAATTATAGTTGTGATGGACTTATCTTTTCATTTTGATATTTAAAGTGTCAAAGAAAATGGAAAAATGAAAAAAAAAAAAAAAAAAAGCAACATTGTAAATAACAGTTATGAAATGGATAAAAGAAATGGATACATTTGATGTCTTTAGATCAATGGATCACCGTCCAATGTGAACTGGTCGATCTTCAATCTCGAATTCGGCAGTTGCTGCTCGCGAACCCTTATGCTTATGCGATCCGAGCGCAAATGCAATTGCAGCGAATAGATATATAAGCACACATGTCCAAGCTAAATATGTGGGTAAACCTGTCGTCTGACCCACTGAATAATCCCATTCTATATTCTGCAATATCATTCATTTCCAAAGTTTTTCTGCAGTTTCCAAATGACATTTTTGTTCGAAAATATTTTCATTCTTGTTTACCTTTTTTTTTTCGTGTGTGTGTGTGTGTGTGTGTGTGTGTGTGTGTGTATGTGTGTGTGTGTGTGTGTATGTGTGTGTGTGTGTATGTGTGTGTGTGTGTGTATGTGTGTGTGTGTGTGTGTATGTGTGTGTATGTGTGTGTGTGTGTGTATGTGTGTGTGTGTGTGTGTGTGTGTGTGTGTGTGTGTGTGTGTGTGTGTGTGTGTGTGTGAAATTTTATATTGCATTACAATATATACATCCATTTCTAATATTAGATAATTTGAAAACTAACATTTTCCAGTCATCATCGCAGAAATAATTTTTAATTTGAATTTCAAAATTTTCAAATCATGGTATAAACATTGGAATGTTGCATGTTATTTCGCTAATTTTATAATTATAATTTATGAGAATGGAAATTTCGAGTTTTAAATAAAACTTCGTTAATTCAACAATCAAATTTGATCTCTTCACAAAAAAAAAAGATACTGCTCTATCAATTTCAGTCTTGTAATTTTCGAAGAGAAATTTATGGAATATAGATTTTCTGGAAAATAAAATGTGATAAATTTTATCATAATTTTTAGCATTCCATATAGTTGCATGGAATAATACTTCTTATTTATAACTGATTATTTTTATTACCAATTTTTCATGTTCTTATCAAATTATCTTTGTACAAAAAAAATATCTCAGGGAAGAAAAGAAGCAAATAGTAAGAACCAAAATATTTAGAAAAGCCTTTTACATAAAATAAAAATCCTAGAAAAATTTTTGATAATGATTAAAGATACGGCAGAAATTACTCATGATTTATAATTTCATCAAAAAAAAAAAAAAAAAGAGTATTTAAACCTTAGCTTGTTCTGCAACAGAACGATTCCATTCACTAATGCTGTTTGTTAATATTTCTATTGTAACAACAATACACATTGCTGAAATTTATAATTATGAATTCAAATGTAATATTTGAATTAATCATAGTATTAAAAGTTAATTTAAATTTCTCACTTTTAATGACGTAACCCTTTCAACTAAAAATTAACAAGATGTTTAATTTAAATATGATAGTCCCTTTCTTTCTTTCTTTTTTTTTTCTAATGTTACAAAGAAAAAAAATACATAAGCTTTGATTAAACATTTAAAAAAAATGTAAAATAATCAAAAATTTACCAATAACACCATAAAGACATGCAACCAAGCGTTTAAATATATAACGATGATGATAAAATGTATACACTGCAAGTGCATTAGTTGAAAACATTAGTAACAATGATATAATACCAAATACCATTTGCACCAAATAGAAGTCTAAAAATTCAAATGATTTTATTTCAACTAGTTATTTCGATTCATATTTCTTTCTTTTGTAATATCCATATAATTTCTTCTTTTTTTTTTCTGTTCTTTTGTTAGAAATGTCTATCACTTTTTCCTTTTATCGTTTTAATTCTTGACGTTTAACTAAATTTTAAAATTATCAATATTGATATCATAATGATTAAACACAATAAGTTTCACATGATCTTCATAAAAGTTATCTTAAAAGGATAAAAAAAAAAATTTTTTTTTCGTAAGTTGCTTACTGTGAGCTTTTCATTTTTTTTTTTTTTTAATTTCCTTAATTACCATTTTCTAAACTTTAAACCAAGATGTATTTTCTATTCCTATGATATAATTTAACTTGATACCTTGAATTCCTCTTTCGACACATTTTATTTATTTATTTATTTTGATAAAATTAATTGTCAAAATGAAAAAAAAAAAAAAGGAAAGAAAAAAAAACATAAACGAACGCTTGAGATCAGCATCTGCAAGTCGAAGAACATGTTCCGGAGGCCTTGGAAAGTGCGGTATCCATTCCACTGAAAGTTTGAATTCAATAATTAACCAAGCATCACTTTTTTTTTTTCGTGAAAAATTGAACATGAAGTTGTCGTTTTTGGAAAATCCAAATTTTTCATCCTAAAAGTACCCTAAGAAAATTTCATTTATATATTATTTGAAAAAAAAAAAAAAAAGTTAAAAGTTAAATTTGTAACAGCTAACATACCAATTTGTTTTGTTCCATTTGTTTTTGTTCGCCATTCACCCCAAACACCTAATTGCACATGTATTTCTTCGAAGTCTGTATTTGTAAAATCGATTATGGTCCAATTTGGTGTGAGCAGTGAAATTACAAATATAATTATTGCTAGCTGAAATCATATATTTAGCTATTTCTTTTTTTTATATATAATTATAATAATGTTCATTTTTGATTATACCTTTCTTTATTATTTTGTAGAAATTAATAAAAATTATGAATTGTCAATATTATATATAAAATCATCATTTCCTTCAGTTTGTTCTCATATCTCTGATTAATAATATTATTTAAACTTTTTATTAGTAGCTTAAATAATTCATTTAGCTTATAGCTTCAAATTTTCATCCTTCTTCGCTCTTCTTTTTCTTTTTTAAAAGATTCAAAATCAAAAAAAAAAAAAGAAAATGTCAATTAAGCTGTAAGATCTTAAGTATTCTAATATTTTGCTTTCACCAACCTCTTCTAGTATTTATTAGAACATGTAAAGTAGTAGAAATTGCTATGGAATGCTACAATTAGCCTCATCATTCCTCTTATAATAACAAAATTAACAGCAATGAGCGACATTCGGCCTATGGTCCAAAAAAAAAAAAAAAAAAAAAAAGGAACGCATAATAAAGTTGTAAATCCAAC